TATATATATATATATATATATATATATATATATATATATATATATATATATATATATATATATATATTCTTAACGGGTTAACGGATTATCCGCTAAGAAAATTGAATAATCCACCCCCAAATCGATAAGCTGTTAATGAACAAATTTCAGTCTATTCCCCGTCTGTTAAACCGTTAACCCGATACCAATAAGCCATTAAGTTTCGGTTTCGGTTCGGTTTTGAACACCCCTAGTCTGTTGTCACGTTTTCCAATTTATCTTTTTCTAGTTATTCATTTATTTGAGGGGAGCCTTGGTGTAGCGGCAAAAGTTGTTAAAGTATGATGTGTAGGTTATGGGTTTGACTCGTGGACACAGTCATTAATGTTTTGTATTAGGATGAACGCGAGATGTCTTGTGCATCGCACTACCCTTTAGTTATTCATTTATTTATATATGTTTTTGCGTTTGGTTATATAAATTAGTATTTGATAATACATACACCTTGAATTTTTTTTTTCTTGTAAAAAATTTCCCGATATACGATTTTGACAAGTTCCTAAAGTTAAATTTTGAAATAAAATAAAATAACGAAATATAGAAATTTAGGGCTGTTACAAAACATTCATAAATGTGTTAGAATAAAAATAACAATTACTTATATCGGATTTCAAATTAGGTAGCCATGCATGAGTGATTGAGAGAGAAGAATAATCGCAGAACCTCCATTGTTATTCACGATTGGAGAAGAAAGACAATCACTTACGGAACTAATCTCTACTCATTTACTATATACAGATATTAGCTAACTCTAATAGTTAAGTTAGGTACTAACTTCTAACTTGCACACTTTAACCCCTAAAGTTTCTTTCTATACAAAGTACTACCCTGACTCAATACTCCCCCTCAAGCTGGAAGGTAGAAAAATATTCTTCACTCCAAGCTTGCAAAGTAAGTACTGGTGCTGTGTTCTTCCCAGACCCTTAGTCAATATGTCTGCTATTTGCTCCTTAGTATTCACATGTGTTGTCTTGATGATACCAGCTTTTATCTTCTCTCTAATAAAGTGGCAATCGATATCAATATGCTTCGTACGTTCATGAAAGATAGGATTTGCTGCGATTTGGATTGCTGCCTTGCTATCACAGTATAGAGCCACAGGCAGTTGTACCTTCACATCCAATTCACTAAGTAAACCAATAAGCCACACAATTTCTGCTGCAGTAGAAGCCATGCTTCTAAACTCAGCTTCAGCTGAACTTCTTGCCACTGTGTCTTGCTTCTTTGATTTCCAAGAAATCAAGGCATTGCCAAAGAATACACAGTAGCCAGTGACTGATCTTCTAGTTTGGAGGCAGGCTCCCCAATCAGCATCACAGTATGCCTTTAGTGTCCCATCTCCTGAAGATGGTAACAAAAGTCCCTGCCCTGGTGCATCATTAATATATTTGACAACTCTCATTGCTGCATCTAAATGAGATTGTTTGGGAGAATGCATGTGCTGACTCAACGTTTGTACAGCAAATGATATATCCGGCCTAGTCATTGTCAAGTACAATAGTCTTCCCACCAGTCTTTGATATTCACCAGCATCCTTCAAGAGAGGGTCTTGAATATTGGCATCAGAAGAAGTTAACTTGTCAAAATCTACAGAGGTCAATTTCTGGTTTACTTCTAATGGCGTGCTAGAAGGTTTGGTTCCAGCTAATCCAAGTTCTGAGATCAGCTCCAATGCATATTTACGCTGGCTCATGTATATCCCCTTTTCAGATCGAGCAAATTCAATCCCAAGGAAGAATTTCAGTTCTCCAAGGTCCATCATTTTAAAGCACTGCTGCAGCTCGACTCTTGCCCTGGTAATTTCTGTAATGCTGTTCCCAGTCATTATCAAATCATCCACATAAATGAGCACTAGAACAAGAGATGTGTCAGTTTTCTTAGTAAATAGAGAATGATCATAGTGGCTTTGAGAGAACCCCATGGTCTGTAGTGCCTCACACAGCTTGATATTCCACTGTCGAGATGCTTGTTTAAGCCCATATAAGGACTTATGCAGCCTGCATACATACTCCCCCTGCTTGGCAATACCCTTAGAGAAACCAAGAGGGACAAGCATATAAACTTCTTCAACTAAGTCACCTTGCAAGAAGGCATTATGAACATCCATCTGATAGAGGGGCCAACCAGAGGAAGCTGCTATTGCCACAACTGATCTGACTGTCACCATTTTAGCAACAGGTGAGAAAGTATCAGTGTAGTCAAGGCCCTCCTTCTGTGTGTAGCCCTTTGCCACAAGTCGAGCTTTGTATCTCTCAATCTCTCCTGAAGCAAGATACTTAATTTTAAACACCCATTTGCACCCTATAGGTTGCTTCCCAGATGGTAATGGCACTAAGCTCCAGGTTTGATTGTCTTCCAAGGCTTGGATTTCTTGTTGCATGGCTTCAACCCACTTAGGGTCCCTAGCAGCTTCAACAAAAGTTTTTGGTTCTGTTTCAGAAGAGTAGGTGGCTAAGCATTTTGAATAGTGAGGTTTCAAATGGAGATAACTGACAGAGTTGGAAATAGGATAGGCAGTTGTTTGGTGACCTACATAATCCTGCATCCAAATAGGAGGTCTAGAAGTTCTGGAGCTTCTTCGAGGTTCAAAATTGTTTTCATGTTGAGGTAATGCTGCTGGTGAGTGCATAACAGTATCAACAGTAGATAGTGTAGGAGAATTCATACTATGTGATGTAGGAGAAACAGTATCAATAGGGCTATTGAGTGACATGTCCTCCTGTATATTTGGAGGTGATGGATCTATGGGCATTACATCAACTGAAGGGTCATCATTTGGAAAAGTGGTTGTTGGAGATAGAGCATCAGGATCAGCAACAGGTATATTGTGGTCTTGATCTGTGAATAGAATAGTTTTTGGACTGGACTCACCTGGCTGCTGCATAAAAGGAAAACTATCTTCCTGGAAAATAACATCCCTGCTGACAAAAACTACTCGATTAGTTAGATCAAATAGTTTATACCCTTTCTGAGTTAGGGAATAACCCAAGAATACTGCAGGAATAGCCCTAGCAGAAAACTTGTCCCTCTTCTTCAAGTTTGCAGCATAACAAAGGCACCCAAATACCCTAAGATGATCCAATGATGGGACCTTGTTGAACACTAGCTCAAATGGACATTTTCCACCTAATATCCTAGAGGGAATTCTATTTATCAGATACACTGCAGTCATAACACACTCTCCCCAAAACCTTAAAGGTACATTAGCTTGAAACCTTAAGGATCTGGCAGTGTCTAGTATGTATCTATGTCTTCTCTCCACTACCCCATTTTGTTGAGGGGTATAGGGACATGTACTTTGATGAGTAATATCCTCTGCACCAAATAACTCCTTGAGCCGGCTGTTGAAAAATTCTCCTCCATTATCTGTTCTGAGAATTTTGACAGTAGAAGAAAACTTTGTTTTAATCAAAGCAATGAAGAATTTCAGTACCACAATTGATTCATCCTTAGAGTTCATAAGGCACACCCATGTGAATCTGCTGAAATCATCTACAAGAGTTAAGAAATATTGTTTGCCATCATAAGTAGGAACTCTAAAGGGTCCCCACACATCTGCATGTATAAGATCACCCAATGCATAACTCTTTGTAGTGCTATCTGGGAAAGGTAAGCGAGTTTGTTTTGCCAAAGGGCATACAGAACATGGATCATTACAGTCAACAAGCTTTGTGTTTCCAAACATATGCATTCTTTTCATAGTTTCCATAGGCACATGTCATAATCGTTTATGCCATAAAGCAGCATTTATTCTATTAATAGGTAATATAGAAGAAATGAGACCAACAGGCAATCCTTCATGTGTGTTGATTTTGATACTTTGATCCAGCACATATAATCCATGCTCCACTCTATCAATCCCCTTCACCTTGCCACTGCAAATGTCCTGGAATATACAGCAGGCAGGAAAGAATGCAAGAAATAAGCCCAAGTCCTTGGTCAGTTTAGATACTGATAACAGATTATACCTAAACCTAGGTACAAAGAGCACATTCTTGATCATTATGTTGTCTAATATGCTGGAAGTCCCTAAGTGTGTGATTACACTTGTCTCTCCAGTAGTTAACTGTACCTTTCTTGAATTACTCTCAGACAACTCCATATAATCAATGTACAGATGTAGGCTAGACACCATGTGATTTGTAGCTCCCGAGTCTATAA